CTTTCAGCAGGACTAAAGCAGTCATGCCCCACTCACACAGCAGCTTTCTACCATGCACTAACTGGCTAGTGCGCTATTGGCTGAAGATACAGTTCATGTGCACAAACACTGTTAATAATGTTACCAATGGTGCATCTTAACTCACAGCTTCCATCTCTAGCTGCTCCGTCTATCCCAGGATTCCTGCAGGTGGCTAGGCACACAGGGATTTTCCCGTGTGGTAGGTACCCCCAACTGGTCATTCAAGTCCTACTCTTGCCCATAACTGCATCCCACAGTCCGCTGAGTGTGTCTAGAAAAAACAAAACAACTCTGCCCCCCACACCCCAAAAACCATAGTCCTTGCTGCATGGCCAGTGTGGAATAGCTGCCCAGGATGTTTCACAATTTACTCCTAAAAACACATCCGGGAAGGGTGCAGAGTGTGAATTAGAAAACAGAAGATGATTTAGTTGGGAATTGGTCCTGCTTTGAGCAGGGGGTTGGACTAGATGACCTCTTGAGGTCCCTTCCAACCCTGATATTCTATGATTCTAAGGGACCTATATGCCCATCCCTTATTTAAATACCTCACAACTTGATTAATGCAGAGTTAAAGTTGCCTACTGGTGTCCCTGTCCCCTTTCAGAGTGGCTGAACCTAAATCTCTGAAAACCAGGAAGCACAAAGTCAAGGTACATGATCTCGAGGTACAAAAGAACCTTGGAGATATTTGAGTCATCGAAGCAAGTAGAGAGGGTTTTGAAAACAAATTCTAGCTGCTTCATTGTGGTGACATCCATTGTGCTGGTTGCAACATCTGAATGCTGTGTGTATGTATATGTATCTGTGTGTTCATGTACTGTGATGCAATATGCCTGAAAGACCACACTTTGCAGAGAACAGATCCCATTTCATGAGAAAATAATTTCTCCGGAGGATTATTTTTAAATTTCTCACCCACTGTTTCTTAGAGGTGATGATGCATGCTGGGATTTTCCAAGGACCCTGGGGGAGTTAGGTACCCAAAATCCCAGCTGTAAAGAACTGCTGGATTTACAAGGAATAGTGAAGGGCATTCCCTCATCTGTGTATTTGATCTTTCCTGGTAAAACAAGAGTATTTATACTTAAAATTACTAAATAATTTCCTAAACAACCTAACGTATGTCCACAGGAGGGGAAGAAGTTCTGCGATTGAGCCTTATAGGTGCTATTTTCAAAAGACCTCAGCATTGCTCTCTCTCAGCTTCCTTGGGAGGAGCAGCTGAATGGGATGCCCTGGGAAGGGCCCATATCTCAGTGTCTGCCCTGGAGGTCACTGAAGTAACCTGAAGTGTCCCCAGAAGTAAGACACCCCATTCCTCTCCCAGCCTGTCCCTTAGTGAAGACATTTGTGCATTGGATCCAGACTGACCTGGCAGAAGGGGGTAACTGTGTGGGATGTTTGACACAGGGCAAATCTACACTACAAAATTAAGCCGACCCAAGTTAAGTCGATGTACAGCCACTGCAGTAACTGAATCGGTTTTACACGTCCACACTACGCTACTTGCATCGGCTGTGCACATCTTCACTACAAGTGCTTGCACCAATTTAACTGCCAGGGTCGGGCATTGGGGGATGGTTTCTGAAAGGCAGCAACAGTCGATGTAAGCAATGCAGTATCTACACTGACACGGCGTCAACCTAACTACATCAACCTAAGCACTATGCCTGTCGGGGAGGTGGAGTTAAGTTGGTGGGAGCTACGTTTCAGTATAGACACTTACAAATCTAGGTAGACGTAAGCTGCCTCACGTCGACCTACCTCTGTAGTGTAGACCAGGCAATTGTAGGGCACTGCTAGCCCCATATGGTTCTGATCAATGGTACACAGGAATTGACTCCGAAGGGGACAAGATTGGCCTCAGGAAAAAAAAATTGATTCACCCCCCAATGATAGTGTGAAGAAAAGTTACATTCTACCAGAAAAGACAACTTCACATTTCAGTTGAATTTTTAACAACTCACATTGCACAAGATCAACACAATGACTCTTCCAAAAATAAGAGGTAGAAAAGAAGCTCACTATCCGCCCCCCTCTAACCTGGAGGCCCCACTCCTCTGCCACAGCAGAAGTCCTGTTCTGAGCTCTGAATGACGCTTACCTCCACATTTATTGCTCAGGCCTGTCTCTGCTGTAGATCTTCTGATGAATAATAAGGTACATCCTGGGACTAAAGCTCTTCCATCAGTTGGGGTGTTTATAGGTACCCCCCCCCCCCCGCCCATGTGGATTCTCTGGTACCTACAAAGCTCCGAGCTGAGACAGAAGCTCTGGCTACAGTTGGGACATTTATAGCATCTCTCCAATGCATGGGTTCGCTCTCTAAAGAGCCCAGAGCGCTCACAGTAGCTTCTCCCAGAATTGGGTCACCTGTCGGGTTTACTCCTGGGCGTGGGTCCTCAGATGCCTGCTAAAATTTGGCCAGCCACTAAAGCTCTTCCCACAGTCGGGACATTTATAGGGTCTCTCTCCTGTGTGGATCCTCTGGTGGACAACAAGGCTGGAACTTACACTGAAGCTCTTCCCACACTCATCACATCTATAGGGCCGCTCCCCGGTGTGGGTTCTCAGATGCTGGGCATGGGTGGAGCTTTGACTGAAGCCCTTCCCGCAATGAACACACTTGTAGGGTCGCTCGCCTGTGTGGATGCGCTCATGCCGGGTCAGGACGGAGGGATCGCTGAAACATTTCCCGCAGTGGGCGCATTTGTGGGGTTTCTCCCCTGT